AAAGTAAAGTAAGTTACATGGCGTTCTTCAATGACACGCAGGTCATACAATAAATTAAGACAACTCCTATGGCTCCTGCCGGTTGTCATACTCATCGACATGCAAGTCGTGAATCCTATTACAAGAACATGATCAATCTCATACATCACATATATCATTCATCACATCCTTTTGGCCATATCACATCACATAGCATACCCTGCAAAAACAAGTTAGACGTCCTCTAATTGTTGTTTGCATGTTTTATGTGGCTGCTATGGGTTTCTAGCAAGAACGTTTCTTACCTACGCAAAACCACAACGTGATATGCCAATTGCTATTTACCCTTCATAAGGACCCTTTTCATCGAATCCGTTCCGACTAAAGTGGGAGAGACTGGCACCCGCTAGCCACCTTATGCACCAAGTGCATGTCAATCGGTGGAACCTGTCTCACGTAAGAGTACGTGTAAGGTCGGTCCAGGCCGCTTCATCCCACAATACCGTCGAAACAAGATTGGACTAGTAACGGTAAGCATATTGAACAACATCAACGCCCACAACTACTTTGTGTTCTACTCGTGCAAAGAATCTACGCAATAGACCTAGCTCATGATGCCACTGTTGGGGAACGTAGCAGAAATTCAAAATTTTCCTACGTGTCACCAAGATCTATCTATGGAGAGACTAGCAACGAGTAGAAAGAGAGTGCATCTACATACCCTTGTAGATCGCTAAGCGGAAGCGTTCAAGTGAACGGGGTTGATGGAGTCGTACTCGTCGTGATTCAGATCACCGATGACCAAGTGCCGAACGGACGGCACCTCCGCGTTCAACACACGTACAGCCCGGTGACGTCTCCCACGCCTTGATCCAGCAAGGAGAGAGGGAGAGGTTGAGGAAGACTCCATCCAACAGCAGCACAACGGCGTGGTGGTGATGGAGGAGCGTGGCAATCCTGCAGGGCTTCGCCGAGCACCTACGGGAGAGGAGATGTGTCACGGGAGGGAGAGGGAGGCAACCAAAGGCCTTAGGTATGATTGCTCCTCCTTTTCCCCACTATATATAGGGCCAAGGGAGAGGGGGAGGGCGCAGCCTTGCCCCCTCCTCCAAGGAAGGGGTGCGGCTAAGGATGGGGAGGAGTCCATCCTCCCCAAGGCACCTCGGAGGTGCCTTCCCCCTTTAGGACTCTTCCCTCTCCAAGTTTCCTTGCGCATGGGCCTCTTGGGGCTGGTGCCCTTGGCCCATGTAGGCCAAGGCGCACCCCCTACAGCCCATGTGGCCCCCCGGGGCAGGTGGCCCCACCCGGTGGGCCCCCGGGACCCTTCCGGTGGTCCCGGTACAATACCGATGACCCCGAAACTTATCCCGATGGCCGAAACAGGACTTCCTATATATAAATCTTTACCTCCGGACCATTCCGGAACTCCTCGTGACGTCCGGGATCTCATCCGGGACTCCGAACAACATTCGGTAACCACATACAAGCTTCCTTTATAACCCTAGCGTCATCGAACCTTAAGTGTGTAGACCCTACGGGTTCGGGAGACATGCAGACATGACCGAGACGTTCTCCGGTCAATAACCAACAGCGGGATCTGGATACCCATGATGGCTCCCACATGTTCCACGATGATCTCATCGGATGAAACACGATGTCAAGGACTTAATCAATCCCGTATTCAATTCCCTTTGTCTAGCGGTATTTTACTTGCCCGAGATTCGATCGTCGGTATCCAATACCTTGTTCAATCTCGTTATCGGCAAGTCACTTTACTCGTTCCGTAACACATCATCCCGTGATCAAATCCTTGGTCACATTGCGCATATGATGATGTCCTACCGAGTGGGCCCAGAGATACCTCTCCGTTTTCACGGAGTGATAAATTCCAGTCTCGATCCGCATAAAACAATAGATACTTTCGGAGATACCTGTAGTGCACCTTTATAGTCACCCAGTTACGTTGTGACGTTTGATACACCCAAAGCACTCCTACGGTATCTAGGAGTTACACGATCTCATGGTCAAAGGAAGAGATACTTGACATTGGCAAAGCTCTGGCAAACGAACTACACGATCTTTGTGCTAGTCTTAGGATTGGGTCTTGTCCATCACATCATTCTCCTAATGATGTGATCCCGTTATCAACGACATCCAATGTCCATAGCAAGGAAACCGTGACCATCTATTGATCAACGAGCTAGTCAACTAGAGGCTTACTAGGGACATATTGTGGTCTATGTATTCACACGTGTATTACGATTTCCGGATAATACAGTTATAGCATGAATAAAAGACTATTATCATGAACAAAGAAATATAATAATAACTTATTTATTATTGCCTCTAGGGCATATTTCCAACAGACGACTGGGCGCAAAATCGCCCCCAGCGCCGATTGTATCGCCGGCTCGCCTCCAGGGGGTGATTTTTATGCGTCCTGAGGGGGCCAACGGCTGGAGATGCCCTTAGCTTCACTCTTCGTATTTTTGTTGCTATTTGGTTGTTCATGTTATTCATTATGTTATCCTTATGTGTTACCATAGTCTTAGCAAAAGTCATGTATTATTACATTAGGAGGATTATCTCATCTTTCTTTGAAAGATTTGCATAGTCACCTCCGCAACTTTACTTTTTGGTTTTGCCCAGTATATCCATCTTCAATACTTGTTAAGAATTGGCCGCGAGCAAAATTTTCAGGCACATAAGATTTAGCAAAGCTGTTTTAGGCTGGCCATAGTGGGAGTAACATCACTAGTAACATCACACTTTTCAAGATAATTTTGCTTATGTGACACATATTTAATGATGAGAGAGGTGATGGTGATAACTTAGTAGTTACTGTAACATCACACATACCAAGACAATATAAGTCTATAGGTTAATAAATGAATCATAACATGACAACACACATATGTTATCACCCACTATGAAGATAGTAACATAGCCTAGTAAAATTTGATGTTACTAGTCTAAGTTGTTTTTCACTGTGACTAGTCTTAAAATTCATGGACTTCGTTTCCTCCAAATTTATGAACCAACGGTCCATTTTATTACTCACACTCACAAAAAGAAAAAAAGAAAAAGAAAAACATACAACGGGCCCAAACGCAAGCGCCAATTCCACCCTAACCCCGAAAGGCTAAGGGTATGTTTGGTTCTTGCCTATAGCTGCCCTGCCAATATTGGCTTGCCAATTATTTGGAGTGGGATTCCAACGCCCAGGGTTGGCCAAAGATTTGGCAAGAATCTGTGAAGGGAAACGTTTGTGGCCGGTGCGCCGGCCGAAGATTGGGCCGGTCGCACGCGGCACGTACGATGGAAAGAGCGATCGAGTGTTCCCTGGGCCTCTCGTGATGACGTGTCCTGTGGACCCATGCACCGCCCTGTCTTCCCTTCTTATCCATCCACACAATCTTATCCTCTTCCTCCATTGTTTCTCTCCCCCTCAATCTCGCCTCCTCCTCTCTGTCTCTTCTTCCCCACAGCGGCCATGACCTTGCCCGCTCCTGTGAGCACCTCCAGAACCACCACATGAAACACGAGCTCGCTGCTGGGCATGGCCCCCGTTTTGCAACTCCGGCGACCCTCCTCCCTTTCCCCCTCCTCCACATTCAATCCTTGCTGCCGCACGGCGGCGACCAACGCGGAGAGGAGATGCAGTTTTTGGTGGCAAACCACCGGCGGTGAGCAGCAACATGCGACGACAGCGACGGCGACAAGTGCTGCAACTAGGACGGACACAAGTGCTGGAGACCCCGCGGCGGCCGGCGTTCAAGATCTCGGCCAGTTTTTTTTTTGCTGCAACGGAGTGTACTTTTTGCTGGAACCAGCTTCAAATTTTGCTACCAAGTATTTTGGGTTTTTGTTTGGAGTGAACCAATTCTTTTGCTTCCATGCTTCTTCCCTTGCTGGAACCAGTGTATTTTTTGCTACAACTGTCTTCAATTTTTGGTGGAACTAATATTTTTTTTTGCTTCCATGCCATTTCTTGCTGGAACCATTGTATCACTTTTGCTACAAACGTTTTGATTTTTTGCTACTACCGCCGTGTTGATTTGTTACATCCATTTTTTCGTGAGGTTACGGAGACGCACAGCGATGAGATTACGGAAACCGCCCAATATGCTTCCACCGGATTTGGTTTTTGCTGGAACCCGCTCCAAAAGATGTTGCAACCTGCAGTGGTGCGGTCGGCGTCCATGGTGTGATGAGCTACAACTGAGGGTCTGCGACAATTTTTGTTACAACTGTCATCGGCGTTTGCTACAACCAATATTTTTTTTGCTGGAACTATGTTTATATTTTGCTACCACATAATTTCTGATCTTTTGCTGGAATCAGCGCCAAATTGTTGCATTTTTTGCTACCACATCCGTTTTGATTTGCTGAACCGGCTCCATTTTTTGGTACTATGAGTGTTTCTGCTGGAACCATCCCTATTTTTGCTACCACGGCCAACCATGGCAGCGTCGCCATTGATTTTGTTGGGGGCGAGGGGGCGGGGAGGGAGGGGGCGAGGGTGGGCAACACCGGCGAGGGGCGCGCGTGCTGCACGACGGCGACGAGCATCGGCAGCGAGGCAAGCCGGAGGGGAACTTCGAGTCAGCGGGAGGGCGCGGGGCACGGCCTTGCCCGATGCGAGCGGACGATGTTTTTTTTTTTGTTCTGCGGCGAAGGAAAAAATATTACGGATCCAATCGAGCGGCTGTGGATGCATGTATCGGGTGGCTAGGAGCGAACCGGCCAAAAGGATTCGGCCGGCGCACCGGCGCCTAGTGGTCGCCATCTGTGAAGGAAGCAACAATGGACTTTGTTGGCAGCCAAATATTTGGCAACAAACCAAACAACACATAAGGAATTTGGCATGACCAATATTTTGGTAGGGTAAGTTGGAGGCGTAAACCAAACAGGCCCTAAAACCCTAGACAAAAGCTCAGCGGCGCAGCACAGCCCAGCCGCCGCGCACCACGCTCTTCCCCCCTCCCTCCTCCGACCACCCTCTCCCGAAACGCACGGAGATGCTCTCCGCTGCCTTCGCTGTTCACCCCGCCGCCGTCGCGTCGCAGCGGCATTCTGTCCGCCAGCGCCAGCAGTTCTGCGCTCCAATCGGCACGGCGACGCCAAGGCGGCGGTTGCCAGTGGCGATGCTTTCGGTCACCAACGCCGTCGCCACGCAGAGCCGCGAGAGCGCCCCCGCGTCGCCTCGCAAGCTCTCTTTCCCGATACTGGTACGATTGCTGATTTGAGATTTAGCCGTATTTCATTACCGTTCAATTTATTTGTTATTTAGATACACGTGGCACTGTATATTTGGATATCTTTTGTTGCTTCAGTTTTAAATCAATATGCGTTGGTGGTTGCAGGACTGTTTCAGTTCGGCACTTATTTAGGGAATCCATAAAATAAAAATAAAATCGATTGTTTAGCATATGGGTATGGCGATATACGAACCTGACTAATGTGAGCCTCACGGTTTGGGCATACATCATCATACATTTTGAAGCGATGTTGGCAATGAGCTGACATGGAATAATTGTGAACCATATCCTTTATTTATTCCTGTGCAGAGTGGCACTGCAAACACTTTTAGCGCTCCGATGGAGAAGGATAGGATATGCCTGCTTGAAATCATGAGTTCATTAGGAACTTTGTTCTTTTAAAATTACACTTGTGTGTATTGATTGCTATGTGTGTTGGATTTGTGATTTGCTTATGTGACACCGCACCTGTTATATTCTATTTTGAAATGGGCATGATCACCGTTGTATTCATTCTGTAACAGTCGCTTTAGCAAATTTAACTGAGGTCATTTAGGTGTGGTCGGAGTTCCATAGGTACTCCAGGATGACAACACTGAGTTGACATCTGATATTCAGTTAGTGGTACAGTTGTTGAAAGCAGAAGAGACCAGTGTTTTAGCTGAAAAAAAAGGAAAGCTGGAACCAAAGCTTGGTGGGCTCCAGTTCTACAATTGGGCTTGCCATTTTGAGCCAGTGAAAGCATCCTTCTTTAAGTTTGACCAAGTTTATAGGAAAAATATATTAACATCTACAACACCAAAATATTTTCGTTAGATTAGCCATGAACTATATTTTCTTACAATATATATGATTTTGTAAACATAATATTTTTTTTATATTACTTGTTCAATCTTAAAGTTTGACTTAGGACAAAGCTAGAAGTAATTTGGAACGGAGGAAGTATTGTATACAAATAACATCCCATTAACTAATGTCATAGTATGGCTCTATGTAAAGATGGACGAGTGAAACCACAAAGCAGAAGCATGACCTGGTAGACGTTCTGTTACTATAGTTAATTGATTGCATTAAGATCTTGTGGTTTATGTTTTAAATTTTGTTGTTGCTTTCAACTTTTCATATTCATGTATCCTAAATTCTGTCTGCTTACCTCAAATCCTCTTCCTTGGCTAGAACCTTCTCTACTGACTTTAAGCTCTGGCATTATTGAGTATCCATTCATCATTCCCAATTACTTCCAGCATTTCAGTAAAGCTCAGTTGAATTGCTAATACGGTCCACATGGCAGGAGAAAGCATATATTATATTTGACTCAGTGCGCTTATATTTATAGGTGAATAGTTGCACCGGGAAAATGGGGAAGTCTGTTGCTGAAGCAGCTGTGTCTGCTGGTCTTCAGTTAGTTCCGGTGTCATTCAGTGCAATAGAGGTTCCTGATGGAAAGCTCAACATCTGTGACACAGATATTCATATTCATAATCCATCTGAAAGTGAACGTATTCTCCGTTCAATTGCTAAGGACTACCCAGATATGATAGTTGTTGACTACACTGTGCCTGATGCTGTTAATGGTAAGCATATTAGTAATTTTGACTGAACAGCTGAGTTTTTTTCCTCTAGATACAAATATAACACTGTAGACAATAGTTTATATTCCATCTGTACTATTGTTAATTCTTATAGTTAATCCCTTGTGATATCTAAAACGGTGTCTATTTACGAGCAGTGACAGTCAAAGTTTCCTATTAGAGACCATGCCCATATCTAAAAAAGCGTCTATTTACGAACCGAGGGATTATTTATTCATGGTTAGGCAAGCAATTTGTCTGCAATTCTGCCCAATGCTTTGATGTTCTTTGTTTGTAGATTATTTGCTCAATGTTTTTGCTGCTATTGATCATGACATGGCTTGCAGCCAATGCTGAACTTTACTGCAAACTTGGCTTGCCATTTGTAATGGGCACAACTGGTGGAGATAGGCAACTGTTGAACAAAACTGTGCAGGATGCGAATGTTTATGCTGTGATATCCCCACAAATGGGGAAGCAGGTATAGTTATTTTCATCACCTGGTCAATGCATATGATCTTTCCCTTATTGACACTGTAACTTCTTATTAGGTTGTTGCTTTCCTTGCTGCCATGGAAATCATGGCAGAGAAATTCCCTGGTGCATTTGCAGGTTACAAACTAGAGGTATCCATTGATCTTTACGATAATAAAAATCATGATTTCCTTCTGTATTCTCTGTTTCAACAATTTTTTGGTGCCTCCCTTGATTGCCATGGGTTGTGTTCATTATGGGCTCAGTACTTGTCATGGTATGCAGAGTTATCCTTGAAGTTAATTACATTATTAAGGAGTCGTGAGATGGTGCAGAGATGTTAACTTGACGTAGTAACTAGTAAAATATCTACAAGCCAATGTGGTGGAATATATATGAAAAGCTATTCTAATAAGACAGGAGCTGATCAGCTGACATGCCACAGTAATAAGGAGGGAAAGTAGCTACTGGTATAAATTCTCACTGGTAATTCGGAGCGAGGAGCAGGGGTATCTTTTAATTAATTGGAAACAGTTTTGATATCCAGTATGTTAACAAATTTATCTGCTGAAGCATAGTAAATATGTCGCCATTGTAAGTTGAAACACCTTGGGTATGTATACCTAGTACCTATCCGTTCTTGCTTCATCTAAAAGGGTTATTAACATGGATGGGGCCAGAATTGTAAGCCTGCGAGATGCAAATGCACATAGACACAACTTCAGAACTGTTCTTCAATTTCTTATTAGATTTTGAGCCACTTATCTGTACTATTTATATGCACGGGTTTTGAAAGACCTGTTGTTTCTGTGATAGGTTCCCTTGTGTGTTCAAAAGTATCATGCAAGTTGAACTGAACATGTGAGCATGCAGGACTAATGCCACCGCCCACATCACATCCCAGACACATACATCACAACTATTCTTCTCTGTTGGGAATAAATTAGGGAGCGTTTGGATCCTTAGTAAGAAACTGTTATAGCCTTGCCCGGCAAGGTTTGGTGTTTGGAACTGTTAAAATATCTTAGCTTTTGTGGGCCAGCTAGCTTGGGTGGGCTAGGAAAACCTTGTTAGCTCAGGAGAGCCAAATCGGCTCGCTTCCGACGGCAAACTTCATGCGCGGAAAAATCGACGACCCACTCCTAACAACGATTTTCACGGGGCAAGGCTGGTAAGAAAAAGAACCAAACCGTCCGATCAGGCAAGGCTGGCAATGCGAAAGCTGGCTAGCTGGGCTAGCCGAGCAATTTCCTTACTAAGCAATGTAACCAAACGCTCCCTTAATGAACAAACTGCTCTGTCGGTATATGCTGTGTCTACTTTTTTATTATGCTTCCATCGCCTCTACATATGTTTCTAAATGCCATTCACATAGATTTTACTAGGTTGTATGAATAAAGATATCCAATCCAATCATTTGTTCCAAAAGTGACACAAATCATTAGAGCATCTCTAGCAGACCCCTCAAAACGCGGACCAGTTTACAGTTTGCTCGTTACCTCGGATACGGGTCGAAAACCTCCGCGAAAGAACAGAAACCGTAAATGGAACTGTAAATTTTGAATTCAAGATTTCGTGGGAGAAATAGAACGAGCTCGTAGTTCGTGATCTCCATACATAGTTCATACATACACTAAATTACACTAAATAGCTAGGAGGAAGGCGGCCACCGTAACCGTACAGCCAAAAATTGGCTCACCGGAGCCATCCGGGTGCGGTGGCGACGCTGCGGCGGCGGACATCCTCAGTGGTCGTCGTCGGAGATGAGGTCTACGTAGATGTTGTCCTGCGCCTTCTTCTCATGGCGCCATGTGTCTTGGTTGTCGACGAAGTCCTTCTCCTTTGCGAGCCCCTGCTTGAGGAGGACGTCGTCGAGGTTCACAAGGGATCGCCGGCGCTGCTCCTCCTCCTGCGCGCTGCGCGCCATGATTGCCTGCTCGAAGATGTCTGCCTTGGCCGGGGGGAGGAAATCCTCCTGCTCGATGACGCCACCGTCCGACAGCACCAGCTCTGCCTCGAGCTCCCGCTTCAACACGCGGAGGGCCGGGAGATCCACCGGCTTCCTTTTCACCTGTGTGAGGAGCGGCGTGCAGGGACAAGACCCCTCTGCGGCGGAGGAGGAGCCCGCCCCAGAGAAGATCCGCCCGTGCCGGCGGTCGTACTCGTTCGTCTCACGGTGGAGCAGCGACTCCGGCGGCTGGAGGCCGTGGTTGGTGTACTTCTTTGCCGCGCGCTTCCTCGCGCCGTCCGCTCAGACACACTGCTGGCGCTCGGGGTCGTCCCTCCTGCCGGAGCTCCACATTCCACCCCACATGGTGGTGTTCGGCTGCGGGAAATAGAAGGGGGATTGAGGAGGATTGGGGAATCATGGCTGCGGGGGGATAGGG